AACGTGCCCCGAGCCGCCCCGCCCCTCCCCCGCCAGCCTCCGTCCCCAGGCCGGGCGGGGCGCGGAGCCCGCGCGCTGGTGCTGAAGGAGAGGTCGGGGCAGGGACTAGACACCCCTGGGGTTGGGAGCCAGGTTCCTTGACCATCCTTTGGTGGGTTCTGCAAGGCCTGAGGGGAAAGGCCGGCCGGACGCGGGCCGAGCGATCTGAGGTCACCGGCGTGCGAGACCTCGCACAGCGTTGCGCACCGTGGTGCAGAGGAAGGACGCGGTCATTCGGACTCGGCTGTGGAAAGAGGAAGGAAAAGTCCAAGGAAAGCCTAAGCAAGAAGCAACTGTTTATGGGTAGCAGTTGTCTTGTCATTGCTGACTGCTCTACGCGGGGCCGGATGTTATCAGGGACGTGGGTCCGTTGGAATGGCAGAGTACACCTGTCCTGGTTCCTTTCTTTCTGGCACTTTCTCCCTTTGTCTCCACAGTGATCTTGCTTGTGAGAGGACATAATCTTAGTGGAGAGTAGATTTGGTTTGGAGTGTGTTCCATGAATATTTTTGGAATCCTTTTTGTAACAGTTCCCGTTTTTGTGATTCCTCAATAAACCTTTTTGTTTGTGTTTCCTTCATATATGAAAAAAAAAGAGAACTGAATCTCATAATTCAGGGAATGGACCAATGTGGGCAGCTGTTGTCCCAGAGAGTGAAAAATACTGTAGTTGCAAACTTTTCTGGGGATACTTAGAATTATCTATCCTTCAGAGAGTTGAGGATGATAGTAAAAAAGAACACTTTAGGTTATTGAAAGCAAAAAAGTCTTTAGGACAAATTAGGTTGTTTCTAAGTCAGAGGCAGTAATGATCTCTGAACTGATTTCTTCAAGTCAGCAGTCAGGGGATTAATAGTGAACTGTCGGGACCAACAGTTAGCATAATGGCTATGTCTCTGAACTCCCATGTAACCAACCGTGGTTTGAGTCCTGGACCCAGTGGCTTAAACTCACGCCGGGCATGTGTGCATGTGTGCCCAAGATCCCAAGAGGAGAATGGAGGAGAAGGGATTGTGGCATGGCCTCCCCCCTGAGGGGTGCTTTCTTGCTTTCTGTCTCTCTGTCTCTCTCTGTCTTTCTGGCAAGTGCATGCGCCCTATAGCAAAAACTTCTCCAAAAACAAAAATTTTGAACTGTCAGGGCCAGCAGGTGGTGTGGTGGTTAAACGCACTGGACTCCCACATGGCTGACTATAGTTCCAGTCCTAGACTTGGCAGTTTCCTTTCTTACTTTCTCTGTCTCTCTTCCTCTTTGTCCCTCTCTGATACAATTAAAATAAATAAGTAAATAAAGTTAAATAATAAAATAATTATTTAACAAAAAAAGAGAACTGTCACAAAAATTTATGCCCAAATGGCATTTTCAGATCTTAGGTTAGAGGTTTTGTTGTTGTTGTTGTGGTTTGTTTGTTTCAGTATTTTGCCATAGAGTGTGTGCACTTGCCAGACAAATACAGAGACAGACAATGGTGGAGGGACATTCCTCCTTCTTGGGGGAATGGCCACCCTGCAGTCCCTTCTCCATTCTCCTTCCAGGATTTTGGGCATGTATTCATGTTCACATGCCTGACATAATTTTCAAGCTGCCAGGTCCAGGACTCCAACCACAGTTGGCCATGTCAGAGTCCAGCAGGTTAACCACCATGCTACCTGCTGGCCCCAAGATTAGAGATTCTTGATTCAAGGATATTTTGAAGTATTAGTGGAAGATCTCTCCATTTCAAATATCTTAAGTGTCTAAAGAGTTTAATAAAAGTAAAACCTTTCTCATTGCTAGAAGGCATATGTGCTTGCCAGTGAGAGAGAGAGAGAGAAACAGAAAAAGAGAGAAAGTACCCCCTATTGGGGTGTGGTCTTGTAGCAGTGCCTTCTCCGTTTCTTCATTCTGCCAGGATATGGGACATGCACACTTATGTGTGGTGTGTTTTCTAGCCACCCAGCCAGGATTCAAACTGTAGTCAGCCATGTGGGACCCAACTTCCTGAACAACTAGGCTATAGGACTGGTCCAATAAAACCAAATTATTAATGATGAAACAAGGCATCCAAATTCCTAGAGACTGATTGACATATTTTTAAAAAGGAATTATTTATTTAACTTTATTTGTTATTATTATTTTTTAATTTGACCAGATAGAGAGAGAGAAAGGGAAAATGAGAAAGCAAGCTGCCAGGCCTAGGACTTGACCCGTAGTCAGTCATGTGGGAGTCCAGTGTCCTTAACAGCCATGCCACCTGCTGACCCTGAGACTGATTGACTTTTTACCAATCAGTAAGGTGTATTGAATGATGCTTTGGGCAAGGCATTAACTGAGGAGTCTTTATGACATTTAAGATATGAAACTTGTGGGACCAGCAGTCAGCATAATGGCTATGTTGTTGGACTCCCACGTAGTCCACTGCGGTTCGAGTCCTGGACTCGGTGGCTTAAACTCACGCCGGGCGCATGTGCGTGCGTGCCCAAGATCCCAAGAGGAGAATGGAGGAGAAGGGATTGCGGCGTGGCCATCCCCTCTGGGGGGTGATTTCTCGCTTTCTCTCTGTCTCTCTCTGTCTGTCTGGCGAGCACATGCACCCTATAGCAAAAACCTCTCCAAAAAAAAAAAAGAAAGATATGAAACTTGTTCTCATGGGCCTATGAGAATAAAGCATACACATGAAAATAACTAATGATAGGAATGATAGGATCTCGAGAATTCTTTTTTTTTTTTTTTAATAGATTTTTTTGTTATAGGACGTGTGCACTCACCGGACAGAGAGAAAGCTAGAAATCATCCCCAGGGGAGATGGCCACACCGCAGTTTCTTCTCCATTTTCCTCTAAGGATTTAGGGCACACTTACACACACACGTGTGTGCGTGC